TGACACTCACTGAGTTTACATTGCGTTTCATTTTTTATTTCAAGAAATATACGCTAATTTATGTATACACGTTTTTCCCTATTGACCCCTTACATGTGACGTCACGGCCACGCCCACTCTCCATGATAGACGGGAGAAGTCTAACTGCAAGCCTACCGACACCTGACCAAAACAACCTGTTTCAGCGCATTACAGCCAAAACTGTGATATTTTGCAGTGCAGTTGATACTAATAGGCAAGGACATAAGCTTTTTTATCTGATACCTGCTCGTTCAAAAAGACATTTGCGGAAAAATTGCCGAGACCGGAAGTGACGTACACATAGGGGTCTATGGGCTATTGTTGATATGCATTTGTAAGTCAAAACGTTAGTATACCGACGTTTAAACAGATATTTGTTATTCAGTGATGGAACATCAAGTCAGGGGTTTTTATTTATGAGCCATTGCGTACTTTTTAGACATCCAATCTGATTTTGAGACTCTGACCGGTTCAGATGAGGAGCAAGCTTAAAGAACATTAGGCCTTTTCCACGGGCTGGAGTCATGGATCATGGTCCGACCGTCCTCGCTCCGCTTTGTCGGATGCGGTCAGGTTTTGAAGCTCGCTGGTGCCACCCGAGTGAGTGTAAATAGCTTAATTGTTAGCGAAGGTAGCGCGAAGGCGAAGGAATGATATCATGGACATCGTAGTTGGCAATAAAGTTAAGAATCGTAAAAGTGACTAGCAATTAAATGTAATACCCACCGTAAAAGTGGGACAGAATTGAATAGTCTGTTGAGGGACAGGTTTGACAAGCTACCACACCAGCTGAAACACTGACGCAGGCAAAGTCTCAATCTTAATCTTGTTAGATCTGAGTGCTGCCTATGACACTGTCGACCATGAGATCCTCCTTACAGAGATTAGAGACTGGGGTTGGCGGGCGCTGGCACCGCCCAAAGTTGGATTGGGTCTTACCTTGAGGAACAGAAAGTAATTTGTGGAATTGAAACTGTGTCTCAGATCATAATCCCCTGACCTGGAGTCCCACAGGTCGATCCTGGGACCTCTACTGTTTCAATCTCTACCTGCTTGCCGATAGGATCAGTTTAATACGCAGAAACGAAGTTTCCTATCATAACTATGCAGACGACACTCAGATCTATGACTCAAACTGACTGCGGAGAACATGGACCAGTGGAACCTCCACACCTTCACTGTAACCAACAGATCATGAGGGATGCAAAACAACTTCCTTCACTACATCGTAGACAAAACTGAAATGATTGTCTTTGGTCTCCCACCCCGAAACAAACAGAGAGCGTCATCTGTCACCTACAGTCCCTCTCTCCCTAAAACCTTCAACAAGGTCAGAAATCTAGGGGTAAATAAGGACTCAGCGTTAAATTTTTAATAGCCACATCAACATCAGTAACATGACAGCAGCTTTTTACCATCTATAAAAACATTGCTCAGGATCAAACGTGCCATAGTGTCTAAAGCAGACCTGGAGATTCTTATCTATGCATTGTCTCCATAAGGTAGACTACTGCAAAGGCCTGCCTCACAGGTCTGTCAAACAGCTGTAAAACAGCTGCATACTTCAAAATGCAGCAGCACAGACCACTGACCGAGTGAGCAATCTGAGGTGAGGCCACGAAGGAGCCGCAGCACACGGGCACCGCCCAAGGATCTATTAATAATAACTGCATGAGGCAGCGGAGGCAGCAGACCGCCACAGAATGGGGCCTGTTTTCTGAATTATATAGAATTAGCGTGGAATAAAAGTACAAACTGCTTGTCACGGTCTTGATGAGCAATTATGTACGGGAGCCGGACCCCGAAATCTAACCTGTCTGATCGAACCTCTGAACAGGAGTGGCATTTATGTAGCTATCCTCCCATATTCCCAATACAGAAACCCCCTTATGTTTGCGGATGCTTTGCCTACAGTTTTTTGTACTGTAACATTTTATATAAGAAACCCAGACCAAGAAACTATATGATGTGGGGTCATATAGTAACAAAAGTCTAAACTCTGCCACAAAAACCTGCGGCCACTGTCTCCTCTAGTCCCAGGGAAAACTTGAGCTGCATGCAGCCCGAAGGCATTTTGGATAGAAAAGGAAACCCATGTGCACGCAAAAAAAAAAACCTGAAAAAGAAGACAGTAAATTTTATAGAGGAGCAGAAAAAAAAGTTGTGTGCACGTTGTTCAGTCCACTCACCGCGTATCAGGCGAGCAGAGGAACGGAGAAACCGCGTCATTCAAATCCCCCTGTATGAGACATTTTGGCTTCACTGTTAACTATACTGATGATTAAATAGTCGACAAAACTGTCACGATGTGTAACAGTGTGACACAAGAAAGACATGAGTGAAAAAAAAGCATCTCAACGACCGCTTATTGCCGCGTCATTTAAGACAGCCCTTCATGCACAGTCAGAACCGGGCTAAAGTCAACTCTCCCGCGCATCACAGTTTGCCTCACATTGAGGCTTGGACTCCCGCAGAATCCAGAGCGGAACGGAGACCTACATAACGATCAACTCATCACCGCAGACTGGGAAATGAGAAGTCTGCGCTGCAGAACACTGCCCCCGCTACGAAAGTCACACAGCGCAGGTACTGACACAAGCATCGGAGAATGGAAGACAAAGGCCCAGTACAATATCCCAGTCACAAATAGATAATGCCAAAAATAAATAAATGTAGTGAATGAGTCTGGACTGGGGCCCAGAATGAGCGCCTCCTTGGGAGAATACAGGATGGTGGTTTTTAATATATGAGGGCAAATACCCTCAAAAAGTGCCTTCCTTATGTTGCACTTTGTGTTAATTTCTCATTAATTATGTAAAAAGGACATAATTGGATGGATGGATGGAATATGCCTTCCCTCCATCCATCCATTACCTTCACCCATAATCCATTTCTAGGTTCAGGGGGGGCAGTCAGAGCTGCACCTAGTACACAGAGCACCAGCCCCTCACTGATCTTCCTGCAGGTGCTGAGTCCCACATGAGCCATTGTGTTTATAAAAAGACAAAAACTTTTTTTTTTTTTTTATGAACCGAACTGTGGCCTCTGAACCGAGGCTACGATCCAACGAAACAATGATTTTTTTCAAACCGTCTGCACCCCTAGTAATTTAACACACGCTCAAACATAAAGTAGTACTTATTGGTACACAAGTACAATAAACAATATACAATGAAATTGCCCACAATATAGAAAACAAGTAATACTATGCAGCACGTTGGCTGAGTGAGATAGCCTCTTGCCTCTCAAACAATAAGGTCCTGGGTATCGAATCCCGTCGGAAATAGGGCCTTTCTGACTGGAGTTTGCATGTTTCTCCCGTGTCTGCTAGGTTTCCTCCGGGTACTCTGGTTTCCCCTACCACTAAAAATATGAACAATAGGTCGGCAGGCGCCTCCTGTACTGGCGACCCCTCCATCTCTGTGTGGATGAGAGGACAAATGCCTAAAAATAACAATTGAACCGCTTTGAGACTCCGTTGAGCTGTGAAAAGGTTGGTATATAAATAAAACTTACTTACTACATCAGCTACTAATCTAACAATACAATACAACTAATGACAAAAACAACAATATTCAAAAACAACGCTATTAACACTACACATTATCGTATTAATACAGACAGCTGTGCTAATAAAAATCTACTAAATGCTATAATTAATCGCAAACCTGACAATCGATGAAATACTCTCCGCGGCAGGGCTACTGACGTCAGCCATCACTGCAGACGTCAGCCTTCACGGCTGAGCCAATTGTTGGCGCCAGATACAAAATTCAATGTAGAAAATCAGGTCGCCTGCAGATGGCGCCTCACTGACGGTTTTCGGCAGAAAGTTGATCTTTCAACATAATTTGCACTAAAGAGACAAAATTATACCAGGATAATGGTACACAACACTATCGGACAGCAGTTCTCATTTATACCATCCCTTCCATCCATTTTCATCCCTTAATCCATTTCTGGGTCGGGGGGTGGCCAGCCAGAGCTCACCCACACACTCACCACTACACCCTCACCTGATCACTCCTGCAGGTGGGTGAGTCCACAGACCTTGATTTTTCAGCCAAGGGGCTTCAGGCAAAGTGGGGTTAAGGACACAAGTACGGGAGGTAGAAATGCGTTCCTGGCCTGAATGGGTCAAGATATGCTCACAAATCATGTCATATGTACCAATAATATTATTCATATATTCTATGAGAGAAATATCTTGATCTTCCTGAAAGTAACGCCCAAGCAACTATCACCATAAAAGAATGGTGTGCACTAGGGGTGGGCAATATGTAATCGTAGACGATAATTTCGTGAAAGTGAATTTGACGGTATGAGGGGTGCAGATATGTGGGCGACATTAGCTCAGTTGGTAGAGCTTGGGCCTGAAGGTCGTGGGTTCAAGCCCACCATAAGACCTACTTCATGACTCCCACTGATGTCTGTGGCCGTTGTGTCCTTGGGCAAGACACTTAACCCCACTTTGCCTGAAGTCCCCCCTGAAAAATCTCAGCTCCTGTGGACTTAACCCCTGCAGGAGGATCAGTCAGGGGCTGGTGGTAAGTGTACTGGGTGCATCTCTGACTGCCACCCACCGACGCAGAAATGGATTAAGGGGAAGAAAATGGATGGATGGAATTTGACAATATGCTTTTTTGCATTGTCAATTTTTCACATATCCCCAATACATCTTACAATTAGAGCAGGCAAGATGCCCATTCGTCAAAAGCGTGCCTAAAATCCAATCACTGCTTTATTTGTACTGAAAGTCTATGCAACGAACACTTGGTTTGGTGTGTGTAGTTCTGGCCTCCTGTGTAACCAGACTCTGAACTGGGATTGAATCTTGTCTCAGAGGTTGACATGCACGTGCGAACAAAAACACACTGGAGCATTGGCAATTATAAGACCAGAAAAGCCAAAATTGCAGCAAAGGGGTAAAAAAAAAACATGTCACGATCCCGTCTTGAACCCTGGTGTCTGTGTTTCAGTGCGTCAGCATCTGTCCCGTCTGCCCTCCATCGACCCCAATACCAGGACCTTGCTGCTGTGTGGGTACCCCAATGTAGGCAAGTCCAGCTTCATCAACAAGGTATTCCCCAGGACCAGCAGCTTCAGGGCATTTCTACTAACTTCATTTTTCTGACTTTCTTCTTTTTTGCTTTTTATGCCTCTCTTCTGTTTTGTCTTCAGTGGAATTCTTCTCAGATTCAGACATCTGCGTAACTTTCTATTTTCCACAGGGTACACTATGAGCACTGTCAGATCAGATTGGACAGTCATAAGAGTTCCTGGTAAAAGGAGCTGGGTGGAACCTTCACAGGAACCGTCCTCGGTGGCTGTGTCTCCACTGCAGAGTAGGACCACTCGGCAACGTCATGAGTTTCGATTGCCGCATAAGCAAAACTCATTGTGGCGTACTCATTACGCCAATCCCGTTATTATAGATCCATGCGCCAAACCCATACGTTTATTTTACGTTCGTGACCGCTTCGGTTGTTGTGGTCTTTGAGTTTTTCTTATAGTCCTGCTTTAGTTTTTTTGTCTTTTTTTTCACTGCTTGTTTCAGTGTGATGAATCCCCGGTGCTTTGAGGTGAAGCTGATTTGTCTTAACCCTTTAGGCGCCAGAGTTTTTTCAAGAAAATATACAATTTTGATTTCAAGATTTCAAAAGGCTATAACTTTAAAATGGTTTGAGATAAAGGCATTCTGTAAATTAGAAATATCTTCAGTTTGAACCAAACTTTGGGATGGAAGTTGATTCGTCCTCTAATTTGCATATTGTGACGTCATCAAGGTGGCGGCCATTTTGGAAAATGTTAATTCTTGTATAAAGACTTCAAAAAGCTGTAGCTTGGGAGTTATTTGAGATCAGGGAATACTATAAACAGTCAATGTGAAATATCTTTAGTATGAAATGAATTTGGGATAGAAATAAATTCCCTGATCCAGATTATAGATAATGTTTTAGCACTGGTTTGCGGCCATATGGAATTGTATTATTTTCAAAGACCTTCAGTGATCAAGACAGCACTCTTTATAGTTTACAGTCATGAAATCTTGAGATTGGTTTCAATATTTCCCTTTCAGAGAAGTAGTGGGCTTACTATTTTTCTCAGTGGAAATGAGGCTCCAGGATTTGCCGTTTAGAAACAGAGAGATGAAATGAATGGGCTCAGAACATGTCAGATCGTCTCAACAACATACAACAGGCTCGTCAACACTTATGATCCACTTTTGTGGATTATTTTCTCTCAAGAACTGCCTTCATCCTCATCATCGCTGTTGGTAAAGGCAGTGAACGTGATTAGCGATGTGTTTTTTTCCCGCGGCTCTCCCGCGACTTCTTCCGCGTCTCCCGTGTTCCCCGTGGATGTCTACCCCCACTACTTTCTCCCACATGCCCGGTGTCATGATGCCCCTGTCCCCTCCACCACGGATCCTGCTTGGCGTTCACAGAATGCTTCTACCGCGGCCACACGGAGGACAAGCAGCCGCTGCACAGGGGCTGATTGTGGACTATGGAGCGCGGTCTCCTCGTCACCAATAATGTCTGTGTCTGCTTCACTGGACACCTGTGTGTCTTCCTCCTCTGAATCTGAGTGAGCCAGTACCAGACCAAGTACTTCTCTGGTACTGAAGACCTCGTGAGTAAAATAAAAAACCCTCTCTCCCTCTGTTCTGCTCTCGCTCCTCTCAGCTCTACCGCTGCTGCTTCGCCTCCGCGCTGCTGCGCCGCAGGTGTTTTACGAACTCAATTTACTCAAACTTTCAATATAACCACACCCACAAATGCTGCTCATATTACAGGCACACATGTCCACTAACCCCTGGTGAAAAGTATTAACAAGATTCTGCTCCACATTTTTAGATACAGCCTGTTTAAGTGAGCAATGTTGCTTGTCGCAATATTGCGACTTTGGCGCTTAAAGGGTTAATATATCTTCTCATTTCGCCGCAATGCCTCAAACCCCATCTGAATCAATGCCGTGTTGCTGTTTCCAGTGGTGTCTGCTAGGCTAATGCTGCTGGGCTAATGCTGGTTGTTTTCTGCTTTCTGCAGGCCCAGACCGTCTGAACGGTCTGGGCCTGCACTAGCCAATCAGCGCCGGATTAACCTCAAGTCCCACCAGGGCCCAATGGAGTACCTAGCATGGAGGAGGGACTCTGTTGGGCCCCGTGAAAGTTCCTGTAAATGGCCCTGTGGGGAAAGTTCCTGCAGTGGAGACCCGCCAAGCCAGGGCTGGCCCTAAAAAATTACCCCAAAGTTCCTGCGGTGGAAACGCGGCTATTACCCATGTTTACATGTGTCCTCATCAGTGGAATCGTATTAGAATGCTCCCATGTAGAGGTGGTAAAGTGCTTCTGTTTGGCAGGTGACCAGGGCAGACGTGGATGTGCAGCCGTATGCCTTCACCACAAAGTCTCTGTTTGTCGGCCACATGGACTACAGATATCTGCGTTGGCAGGTAGGCCTGGACACATTTGGATCAAGTACAGCATTGCAGTAATGTTTATATTAGTACTGTATAACGATTAGGGCTGGGCGATTAATCGATTTTAATCATTAATTCGAGTTTTACGTTTAGGGCGATTTCTTTTTTTAAAAATTCGATTTTTATTTTCTCCAGCGCAGAACTACAGCGCTAACGCGCTAACCGCGGGTCTATGGTGTTGAGCAGTCATTTTGAAGCTAACCTAATGCTAACAGTCTCCCTCTGGCCTGATGCTCGCTCTCACAGTTGGTGCTGTTGCAATAGCACTTCAAACGTTCAAGAATCAGACTTTATGTAATCGCCAGAACACACACACACACGCACGCAGGCTCCGGTCGTTATGTCCGTACGCCACATCTTTCACGCTCTCTCACGCTCGTTATTCCAAAGCGTGAAAGCGCACTTCCGTGGCGCGCACACACTCGTGTCCCACTGAGCCGCTGCACTTTGGGGAAAGACACGTCTCACACATTGCTCTCATTGCTCTGATACAAACAACGTGTTCCCCGCTGTCTGTTAGCTACAGTAGCTGCTACAGTAGCTGTTAGCTACAGCATCAGAATGTAAACAGGAAGTCACTGAAGTTAGTATTAGCGCCACCAGCTGGACCGAGCGTTGTACTACAGCACAGTTACTCAGGCACAGTTGAAAGAACAAGCATGAAAACCCGAGGAGGCTTTTGGAAAAGACTGTCTGTTACAACATTTCTATTTTGAGTAATCAGTTTTAAAAATGTGATATTTCATGTAAATAATGCATGTGTTTAATAGGATTGATATATTTGCGATGGGCCTTGTTTGTGTGATTTGTTATTTTGAAGGTGCATAGTGTCATTGTAAGTGAAGTTATTATAAAACTGTTAAGCTACATTTTCACTGTTTACAATGGCAGAGCCATCTCGTTTACAAGCATGTTTTAAGGCTTAATTCCTGTTACACTTATGCTCCATGGGGATTTAGATTAAACTGCATAAAGGAAAATCTATTTCTTTGTCAGTTGTAGTTTGTTTTTAAATAGAAAAAAATAAATCGATTAAAATCGAAAATTGGATTTGGTGTGAAAAAATCAGAGATTTTTTTTTTTTGCCATATCGCCCAGCCCTAATAACGATTAAAATATTTAAGCGCACGTGCAAGCTTGTGGGTTAAGTGTGATGTCTGGGTCAGTGTATTTTTCGTTCAATATTTTTTTTTTCAAATTAAAATCAAAAATGAAATATCTTAAAAAATCCGTGTACCCTTCGATCATTAGTTATTCCGTTTCAAAATAAAATCAGAAAAACAAATTACGTGGTTTTATTGTATTTCCATTTTCTAAATTAAATTGGAAAATCAAAACATTCTAAATAAAATATTCACCCATTTCATTGCTATGCAGTGGAAACAAACACTACTAAAACAACTTCCATTATTTTGTTTGATATGCTACCGGAAATGATAAGTGGTGAGAGACGGAAACAACTGCAAGCTGCACTCAACTCAACTACACGACAACAACTCGCGCTGTTGTTGAGCTCGTCCCCAGGCCCAAGCTCCAGGGGCAAAATGATTACAGCACCTGGTATTCCCAGGCGGTCTCCCATCAAAGTACTAACCAGGCCCGACCTTGCCAAGCTAACGAGATCGGGCATTCTCAAGGTGGTATGGCCGTAAGCACGGGGGTATGGAGCAGCGTGCCACCTGACCCTGCTGCTGCGGTCCTCTCCTCCCCCAGAATGAGCGCTCTTGGGCGGATGGCAGGCGCGCGGTCACCCCGAGGGCCATAACTTTCTGGTCCTTTGTCCCCCGCGCGTCAAATTCACACCGCGGGTAGCCCGGGACCAGGGGAGTCCTTGGGTCCCACCCCCGTGTCTCTACCCTCCCTGGCTCGACTTTGAGGAGCCCGGAAAGCCGGGCTTCCTTCCCCCGGGAATGAGCGCTCAGGCCCGGGTCTGAGCGGGAGCAAAGCCCTCCCCGTTGATAGCCCAGAACCGGAGGAGTGCGTGGGTGAAAACCCTGTGTCTCTAGCACCCCTGGTTCGTTTTTGACTAGCCCTGGAAGCCGAGATTCTCCTTCCCCAAAATGAGCGCTCTTGGGCGGATGGCAGACGCGCGGTCCCCCGGTGGTTTCCAAGGGCCATAACTTTCTGGTCCTTTCTGGAGTCCCTGGGTCCCACCCCCGTGTCTGTAGCCCCCCTCCGCGAGGTCTCTTCTCTTTTCCGGTGTCGCAAATAATAATAAAACGAAATAATAGTTATGCCATAATTCTTTTGAGAATTTTAAACAACTAGAGCCAAAACAAACACATTGATATTGAAGCATAAAGGATTTATTTTTTTATTCAAGTTTAGAAAAGGAAAAGAACAATAAACAAATGGAAATTTGGATTTTCTGATTTTATTTTGAAACTGAATAATGATCGAAGGGTACACGAATTTTAAAATGGCTTTTAATTTTGATTTTTTTATTTTGAAGAGGAAAAGGAAAAACAAAAAATTGGCTTGATACTTGTTTTGTTTCGATGCAGAAAATGAAAAAATGAAATATTGAATAATGGATTAAGGCTGATTTGATTTTGTTTTTTCGATTTGGAACAACTGGAAGTTGGCTGTTCACCCATATTTTCGTATTTACAATGAGGCCACATTGGACCGTAGATCTGTGACGTGACTTCCTGTATCCGGTGAGCGTGTTTCTTGACTGCTATCACTCTGCTCTCTGTTTGCACTAACAAACACATTACAAATCCACGTATTGTACACTAAGCTAACTGTGTAAGCACTCCGAGTCAGCTGTACTGTAGCTGAGGTTTAGGTAGCGGTTGTTTGTCTGGTCTCGGAGTCTGTTGTGCGGGCCCGGATCCGTACTAGCTTAGCCTAGCCGCTAACTCGCTACTATGGCGGCTGCTGTCTCTCCCTCAATCCTTTACTGCTCGAGTTGCCATATGGCGAGTCTAAACCCTGGATCCTTCTCTAAGGGTAGTGATAGATGTGTGAAGTGTAGTGTAGTCGTAGCTCTGGAATCCAGGGTCAGTGAGTTAGAGCTGCGTCTCCGAGCACTGGAGTCTCGAGCTAGCGCTAGCATTAGCTACAGCCAGGCCGTATCCTCAGGGACAGCGGAGCGCAGCTTTAGGGAAAGGCAGAGGAGAACTAGCGAGCCTAGCCTCCCAGCCCGTCCTCCGCAGCTGGGACAAGACCAGGATAGTGATGGCTTTGTGACTGTTCGGAAAGGGCGACGTGTTGTTGGTAGTTTCCCCATTGGGCCTCCTCCTGTTAGCATTTACAATCGCTGGGACGCTCTGTCCGGCTGCGCCCCCGCGCGGCCGGACGGGGAAGAACGCCCCACTGAGAGAGCCGCTGAGAGAGCTGCTGAGAGAGCCGATGGAGTCGCTGATGCGCTGGTAATTGGCTCCTCTATTGTTAGAGGTGTTAAGATCCCAGGAGCCACTGTTCGGTGCTTCCCTGGGGCCAGGCTTGGTGATATTGAAGGGAATCTGAGGCTCATGATGACCCACAAGCAGCGTTTCCGTCGAATTGTTATTCACGCGTGTGGTAATGACGTTCGGCGGAAACAGTCCGAGGTGTTGAAGCTGCAAGTCGCCGCCGTGTGCAAGCTGGCTAGCACAATGGCCGACACTGTCATCTTCTTTGGGCCCCTACCTAGCACTAGCAGTGCAGAAGCATTCAGCAGACACTCGGCTTTCAACCGCTGGCTGTCTGGCTGGTGCCCTCGAAGTGGTGTTGTTCATGTTGACAATTGGAGTGCCTTTTGGGGAAAGCCCGGTCTCATCCGCTCGGATGATATCCACCCAACGTTGGCGGGTACATCCCTTTTGGCTAAGAATTTGGCCCTGGCTCTAAACTGTTCTGCTCGGCTCAAATGACGATGCAGAACTGAGGCCCGGGTGCAGAGCTGCTCTGCCACAACCTCTGAGCCCCCATCTGTTCAGTTACTAGCCTCAGAGGCTAGTCAGATTGAAACTGTGTGTGTTCCCCGCTTGAAGTCTAAAGCACTATATGCGAGGAAATCTGACCTAGGTGTCAGACACAGTAACTTAATAAAAGTTCAGACAGACAGAAATAGTTCTAGCGGTAGGGTTGTTAAATGTGGTTTAATGAACGTCAGATCAATCTCGTCTAAATCGCTTCTCATAAACGAACTTATTATAGACAAGGGCTTGGATCTGTTTGCGCTCTCGGAGACTTGGCTCCAACAGGACGACTACGTTAGATTGAATGAGTGCACTCCTCCGACGCATGTTAACTACCAGAAAGCCAGGGCTACAGGTCGCGGCGGTGGTGTTGCGATTATATCACACACCAACTTGGTTCTTAGTCCCAAAACCAACAACGCTTTTCACTCGTTTGAAAACTTAACACTTTCAATCACCTGTCCTGGGTGGAGAAAACAAAAAGCAGTACTATTTATAGTTTTATACCGACCTCCTGGTCCTTACAGCGAGTTCCTAACAGAATTCTCTGACTTCATTTCAAACCTAGTTTTGGAATGGGAAAACATAGTTATAGCTGGAGACTTCAATATACATGTGGACGACAGCACTGACAGCTTAAACAAAGCTTTCAGCGCCGTACTAGATGGTGTTGGTTTTACTCAGAATGTTGAGGAACCTACTCACATTCATAACCACACCTTGGACCTTGTCCTGACCTACGGCTGTGATGTCTCCAATGTTGACATCCAGCGCCAAAGCTCGTTGCTGTCTGACCATTTCTTGATCACGTTTGATCTCGCTTTGGAGGACTTTCCTGTCCCGCAAGATAAAACCATAATGAAAAGAACCTTAAATGATAAATCTATCACAAGGTTCAAAGAACTAATACAGCCTATGTTGAATACTGCTGCAGGTGAACCTGTTCACAGCAGCTGCAGTCCCTCAGTCATTGACCAAACGGTGGGCAACAACTATGGAGTCTTTAAAATCTGCATTAAATGCAGCAGCTCCTTTAAAACAGAAAACCATTAGGATTAGATCATCGTCGCCCTGGTACAGTGTTCAACTCCACACTTTAAAACAGGACGTCAGAAAATTGGAGAGGCTATATCGCCACTCCCACTCGGAGCCTGTCCACAGGGAGTGGAAAGCAGGTCTCCGAAACTACAAGAAGGCCCTTCGCGGGGCTCGAACTCAATACTATTCAACTTTAATAGAAGCGAATAAAAACAACAGTAGATTTTTGTTTGGCACCGTCGCTATACTCACAAACTGCCATAGCGCAATCGAGCCTAAAATTCCAAGCTCACTGAGTAGTGTCGACTTTCTCCACTTCTTTAATAATAAAATTACATCCATCCGTGACAAGCTGGAGGAGGTTGCTCCTGCTGTTAGTGGTGGACAGGTTGAAGCGGCATACGTGACTTCCCACTTAGACTCTTCAGTGGGCCTTAATAAATTCATGGCTGTGAGCCAAGCAGAGGTGATCTCTGTGGTCACATCCTCAAAAGCCTCAACTTGCATGTTAGACGCAGCCCCAACATGGCTCTTCAAAGACATACTTCCTTTGATAATTGAGCCTATCGTAAATATAATAAACGCATCCATACAATGTGGCTATGTCCCACAAGCTTTTAAAACCGCTGTAATCAAACCCCTTCTGAAGAAAACAAACCTGGACCCAGAAATACTTACAAACTACAGACCGATCTCAAACCTCACTTTTATATCTAAAATCCTGGAAAAACTTATAGCTGAGCAGCTCCGCTGCCACCTGCAGGAAAATGATATGTTTGAAGTCTTTCAATCAGGATTCAGAGCTCATCATAGCACTGAAACGGCACTAGTCAAAGTCACAAATGACTTACTACTAGCTGCCGATAATGGACAAGTGTCAGTGCTGGTCCTACTGGACCTTAGTGCTGCATTTGACACAATAGACCACAGCATTCTACTGCAGAGGCTAGAATGTGATATAGGTCTTAGAGGAACAGCCCTTGGCTGGTTTAAATCCTATTTATCAGATCGATATCACTTCGTCAATGTGAATCAGGACTCGTCGCCTTATTCTGGAGTAGAATTCGGTGTGCCGCAGGGTTCGGTACTCGGACCGATTCTTTTTACTCTCTACATGCTGCCACTGGGAAACATTAAAAAGCATGGAATTAATTTCCACTGCTATGCAGATGACACACAGCTTTATCTGTCGATGAAGCCTAATCAGACAGATCAGCTAGAAAAGCTCAGTGCCTGCATAAAGGACCTTAAAATGTGGATGACTCTTAACTTCCTACTTCTCAACCCGGAGAAGACAGAAGTGATCCTACTCGGTCCGAAGCGCCTGCGTGACTCCCTCACTAACCAGATGGTTACTCTCGATAATGTCAGTATAATACCCAGTAACACTGTGAGGAATCTTGGAGTCATTTTTGACCAAGAACTCTCCTTCAAGGCTTATATAAGCCAAGCAACTAAAACGGCGTACTTCCACTTACGGAACATCACTAAAATTAGGAATTTCCTTCCTAAAAGTGACGCGGAAAAACTCATTCACGCGTTTGTCACCTCAAGGCTCGACTACTGTAACGCTTTACTGGCAGCGTGCCCTAAAGCCTCTTTGAAGAGCTTCCAGCTCGTTCAGAATACAGCAGCTAGGATCTTAACAGGTACCAAAAGGAGGGAGCACATAACTCCGGTGTTAAAATCACTCCACTGGCTCCCTGTGGAGTACAGAATAAAGTTTAAAATCCTACTCTTAACATATAAAGCCATAAATGGCTTGGCTCCCTCTTATCTCCAAGACACGTTAGTGTCGTATCAACCAGGTCGAGCGTTGCGCTCACAAAACGCCAGACGTCTGGTGGTCCCTAAGGTCTCAAAGGTCACTGTTGGTGGCAGAGCATTTAGCTACCAAGCTCCTTTACTGTGGAATCAGCTTCCCATTTATGTTAAGGAAGCAGATACGGTCTCCACATTCAAGGCCAGGCTTAAAGCACTTTACTTTAATTTAGCATATAATTAGGTAATATATAATATGTAGTGTATATATTATATATATATATGCTGTATTATGTTATATATTATGTTATATATTATTCAATAATGTATTGTGTTATGTTGTATATTATGTTATATATTATGCTGTATGTTATTCTTTATTCAAGGCTAGGTTTAAAACAGTCCTCTTTAGTTTAGCATATGGCTAGGAAGGTAAGACTCGGAGAAGGTTAAACTCCTCAGAGTGTTAGTCAAGCTGCATAGGGAGTCAGTTTGCTGGGAGAAGTATGGTAACTTGAGCACTATCCTCTCCTCCTTCCTACTTTATCTGTTTAGCATTTTTAGGATTCTGACTGTAGTTTGTTCATTGCTATTCACCCGTTGTCCCATTGTCTGTTTCATGGTACGATGACGGGATCTCTGAGCCTGGCCTCTTCCGTCTGCGCCTGCGGACTGCCCCGCCCGGCCCGCCTGGGAGTGCTTCGGTCCTGCGCCGGACCTGTCCACGTTCAGCGTCCACTGGCCCACGTTCTGTAGCTAGCTTAGGTCCTAGATCATTAGCCTGTCCGTCCGGAGGAGCGGATCCCTTTCTCATATGGGTCTCCCTCCCTGTGGGTTTCCCTAGTTCTCCTCCAAGGTTTCTCACTTTTTCCCACTGGGTTTTTTAAGAGTTTTTCCTTGTCGATGCAGGAGGGTCTTGTTGGACAGTTAGTGTCCAACAGAAAGGATTGGTGATGATCAGGACACTTTAGCATTCTACAACATGTATGGACATTTTCTTCTGTGTGTGCTTTATATTCTTCATGTGTTTTAACTGTTGATTCTCTGACCTGTGTTGGTGATTTCAATGGTTTTGTTAAGTCCTCTGAGATGACTTCTGTTGTGACCTAGGGCTATACAAGAATAAATTGTATTGTGTATTGTATTGTATTGGAGCTGCGATTTGGTTCCACAGAAGATTCTGCCGGAACCCTGAGCCAGAGAACTAAGAACCATGCCATATACATGTAATTAATGTGAAACTTTAGAGGTTGGAGAAAAGATCGTCAACTGTTTGCAACAGCTCCTGGAGTTATGTTACAAAAACTTCCGGTTAAGCTAAATCGAAAAATGTTATTCAAATCGGCTTGAAACCATTATTCAATATTTAGTTTTTTCATTTTCTGCATTGAAACAAAAAATCAAATATCAAGCCAATTTTTTGTTTTTCCTTTTCCTCATCAAAATTAAAATTTTTAATTCAAGATATTTCATTTTCAATTTTAATTTGAAAAAACCTTTGAACGAAAAATAAACTGACCTGTCTGCTCAGGTGGTCGACACCCCTGGGATCCTGGACCACCCTCTGGAGGAGAGGAACACCATAGAGATGCAGGCCATAACGGCGCTGGCCCACCTGCGCGCCGCTGTGCTGTACGTGATGGATGTCTCGGAGCAGTGCGGACACACACTCCCACAGCAGCTGGAGCTCTTCCACAACATCCGCCCGCTGTTCGCCAACAAGGTTCCAATCACACGCATCGCAATACATGTCCTATTTAAAGTTCACCCGGCCCGGTCCACACGGAGACCAGACACTGTATAGTTAAGAGACAGTGTAACATAAAGAAGAAACTGGCAGTAAATATATTTGTCCATACAAAGCTGAAAAACCAATCAATTTCACCAAAGGTTGTAATATATGCCACTTTTCGTAAGTCACGGCACGGCAGGGTGTGGGTGCTTTTCCATTAAAATTAGTACCTGTTCAACGTGGGAGGGGTTGTCAGACCACGCCATTTATGCGCGACATGTAACCAGTAACATTGTTGCGGTGCATGGATGTATTATATCTATGGGGATATTGTTTCAATATTATTTGTGCTTGCGTAACAAGATTTGTGTGTGTGTAAAAAGATTTGTGTGTGCGTAAAAAGATTTGTGCGTGCATAACTAGATTTGTGTGTGAGTAGAAAAATATTTGTGCGTGTGTAAATAGATTTGTATGTGCGTAATAAGATTTGTGTGTGCGTAACTAGATTTGTGTGTGTGTATAAAAAAAGGTACGTTTTAGACAAGTCTTTTTTTACGCACAGATCTTTTGACGCAGTCCTGCCTTCGCAGATTCGTGAGTGTAACTTGGACTGTGCGTGTTTACCCAGATTTGTGTGTGTGTAATTTGACATTTGTATCTCTAACAGAACAATCTGTGTGTAAATAATCACCTTGTGAGAAGAGAAGAACGTAAAAAAGCCTAAAGTGCTACGCATAGGCTCTCGTTTTACACACAAATCTTTTTTGACACACTTCTGCCGCTTAGCGTGTGTCAAGAGATTCGTAAGTGTAATGTGGTTGTTCTAGCACTATACCAGCAGATGGTGCTGTTGTGGCAGGTTTTTACACGCAAGCAAACCAAAACCTACTGTCCAGATAAACTGCCTCAGCTGTTTGTTTTCTAATTAAAAATCCTGTCATTTACACCACTGTATGATACATGGATCTATTATTTTATCTGGATAGGGTATTTACCAGCGTGGAGCTGAAGAACCCATGTGCTCGGGGATTCTTGCGGTACTGCAGACTAAACAAGACTAAATTCACGTGGGCTACCCAGAGATTATCCCCATAGAACTCAATGAAAACTAAAACAGCTCGACCTCAGCTGACAGAGACACTTTGACAGTGAGGGTCAAACTGAGAAGGGGGTTACGCCCCGGAGGAGTACATCCATTCGGCCCTGGAGCAGCCAATCTCCCCTGCTAACAATAAATACACACTGTTCAATGTCTTAACACAGTAGCAGCTTTTCAGAAGACTGGTAGATTTTATTAGCATTCAGATTTTATTGTACGATCCTTTTCTTAAACTGCTGCTTTCAACTTAGTTAGATTTGTTTATTATTTCCATTATCAACCCGACAGACCATTTATAATCTATTAGCTACCGTGAGACACATGCGCGGGTTTGCCTTACATCATAAAGAGCAGTAAGTTTTGGTTTGCTTGTGTGTAAAAACCTGCTACAACAGCACCATCTGCTGGTATAGTGCTGGAACAACCACATTACACTTAATCTCTTTTGACACACGCTAAGCGGCAGAAGTGTCAAGTGATTCATGTGTAAAATGAGAGCCTGTGCTCTGTGCCTGCTTTTTTACGTTCTTCTCTTCTCACAAGGTGGTTATTTACACAGATTGTTCTGTTAGATACAAATGTCAAATTACACGCACACAAATCTGGGTGCACACGCACACAGTCAAAGTTACTTACGAATCTGCGAAGGCGCAGAGACTGCATCAAAAGATCAGTGCGTAAATAAAAGACTTGTCTAAGACATACCTTTTCTTTTTTTATACACGCACATCTTGTTACGCACATACAAGTCTATTTTCACACGCACAAATATTTTTTCTACACACACACAAATCTAGTTACGCACACACAAATCTTTTTACGCACACACATCTGTTTACGCACGCACAAATATTATTGAAACAATAATAGCTCCATAAATATCGGTGATGGTTGGTTATTACCTCCTAGGGGACTCTTCTTACCCCCTGCAGAACTGGCCCCTAAACCCTTTCCGGACTCCGGGCGAGTGACAGATGAACAACAAGTATTTAATAGAAAATTCAGCACTGCGCGAGTGGTTGTTGAAAATGTTTTTGGCAGTCTTAAAGGAAAGACTCGGACACTGACCATGTGAAGTCAATGGTGCGGACTTTCTGTGCTCTGCACAATGTTTACGAAAACCATGGAGAGACCTGTGACAGAATGGGACACACCTGGTAGCAACGGCAGCCTTTGTAGCAGTGGTGCTGAGTAGAGTCTGTTGCGTATGGATGCGTCACTTTGTCATATGCCCAAACATTTATTTTGCCCTTGTTGTTACAACCCTGTCGTTGAGCTCGTATGGGAAGAGGGATGTAACATAAAAGAACCAAGATGTAGAATGGTAAATTAAATGGCCTTTAGTAAAATAGGCAAACGGAGGTAACAACGTGCACAGGACCTCTCCTGAGTTAAACAAAAACACAGACTTCTCAACACAACTAAATCAAAACACAGATACAGAGCCACACAGGCAATCTTAAGAATAAGCTGTAGCGCACACAGAAATACGTTCTCTCCGAACGGTGGCAAAAAAGACAGATTCAAATCGCCCCGCACAGAAGGAGCAGGCTAATTTTCATGGCTGGTGCTGATAAGCCGCAGCGACGGATTGGCCAGACGTGGAGAGCGCGACCCAATCTCAGAACCGAGGAAGCAGAACTGGGAAGCTGCGCGCATAACCGGTGCACCATGCAGCGGGGCGGAGCTTGGGCAGAACAGCAGTACAGCACAGGAGGGAGGGAAGCGGGTACGGCGCGGGTACGGCGCTTGTTTTGACCAAAAATAAAACCTTTTTGTATTTAGCAAATGTCTCCATCCTTGTTCATAAATTTACCAAGGTTATACGGATTTACTGACAAATATAGTGTATGTAATGTAATTAGAAGTAAAAGAATATGGTAGGAAATTGTAACTTTCTCTTTTGAACCCCTTTTCTGCACGTGTACAGACCAATGAATGAAACAAAGTCTTGATACAATCACAGTTTTACAAAAATCAAGCTTTGGGCCAACGGGATACGTAGCTAACTAGTGATTTCCAGGATTACTAGTCACAAATCAAGAGCTGGATGATCTCCCTGAAAACCTTCTAGTTCAGGGAGTGTTGCAGCAGTGTTGAGCCGTCGAGCTGCCTTTGAATTCTTTCTTTGGCCTAAAGAGAGTAATGTGTGGACCTTGTCGACCGACCAGGGCATTGACTTTTGGGGCTTTCTGTGTGATTTCGTTTCTTTGGAGTGAGGAGGATGTATTATAGCCTATTATAGATCCTTGGTTATAGCAGAGCAGCCGGTTTTATAGATGGCGGGGTTGTTTTTTCCATAGGGCCGGACGGGGCTTCCTGTGACGAGACTCGTTGACCAATCAGTGTAAGGCAGCCGGCTGACTTCACGTTATGGTGTAGCTTCGGCACGGTTGGAACCACGGTTGAGGTGGTACGAAAAAAGTACCCTTATCCCAAAATGCAAAATTACTGCGCCGTACCGTACCTTTACTGTGGAATAGCGGCAATAGCTTTTTGGCCTGATAGCGGCACGGTGAGGCTGTGATGGATAATGCGGGGACCCAAAAATGTCAGCTTTGTATGGCTGGTAAACCAGGATTTCTGGAGATTGTCCAGATTGCAATTTTGCATCCGTTGTCCCACATTCATACTCACAAAAATGCACTCATTCACCCTGAACTGACATGTTTTTAGTGGTAGGGGAAACCGGAGTACTGAGAAGCAAGAGTGCCATCCATTCAGCCACTGTACATGGAGAGCTGTGCGTGAGAGCAGCATGTATTACACACCGGCAATGTGTGCAGAGTTGCAGCTAGTGCAGTTTATGTAGAAGTGTAAGTCCTCTACAGCAGTGGCCCCCAACCACCGGCAGCACCGGTACCAGGCCGTGGGACATTCAAACCAGGCTGCCAATGAAAGAGAAAATATTTTTTGTATTAGACTCTCAACAATCCTTTATATTGAAAAATGACCATATTCACTTCTTACGTATTTATCACTTCACATGGTAGCACTGAAATGTAAACGATGCCTTTCCACCGCACGTGCATGGAGGCTGAAATGTAAACACATTTTGCGCAATGAAGAGGCTCCTGCAGCACAGAGGCTCTGGCGTTTTACAAACGCAGTGTAAAGGAATTAACGGGAAGTGGGCTTTACTGACTGCAGTGTTTTTTCTGCAGCCTCTCATTATCGTGGCCAACAAATGTGACGTGAAGAAGATCAGCGAGCTGTCTGAGGAAAACCAGGTCAGTTGGGCTTCATTTTGAAGTTTCTCTTCCGAAAGAGCTGTTCTAACCACATGTATGTGGAGCAGAAGCTGTTCTCCGAGCTCTCGTCTGAGGGCATCCTGGTGATTGAGAGCAGCACACTGACAGAGGAGGGAGTAATGCAGGTCAAGACGGAGGTAGGTCCTCTCAAACCAGTTCGGCAGAACGCCAAGTACCACAATTTTCAATTAATGTTCCAATGTTTTTCATAATACAATAGAACGGGTATACCACAAACGATATGTTTGGACTGCCTTTATAATGCACTGGAACTGCTTCAGGTGATAACTGCTGCTACTCTTCCTGGCATAGTTTTTTGAATAAAATTTTCAGCATTTATATCGGTATGCTACAGGCTTTTTGTGTCACTCATGCACTGAGATAGTTTAGTTTCTGTACCTCGGATTGAGTGTTGTCTAGCATACGTATTAAGGCCACATCTGGGAACGGAACGATCTTTAATGTTGGTGCTTGCTTAAGTGTGTTGCCTTCTTCTTTCCCAGGCTTGTGATCGGCTGCTGTCTCACCGTGTGGAATCGAAGATGAAGGGCAAGAAGGTCCATGACGTACTGAACCGGCTGCACCTCGCTGTGCCCAACAAGAGAGATGACAAGGTCTCACATACTGTTTGCGCACACATGCACATTAGGGGTGGTTGATCGGTCTAATTTCCCAATTTGATTCGATTACCAACCAAAAATCTGTTACTAACAATTCTAAATTCTTGATGCATAATTCTTGATTTTCCATTTGACAACAGTAACCCAACGTGAATGATTTGTTTTAACTTGAAAAAATGTCCACACTCTCTTATGAACGTTAACATTTGGAGACAGACGCACAGACCGCATGCGTTTTGCGTTTTGTTGAGATGTTTAGAGCTCCTGCCATGAAAACCAAAATGAATCCACACACTTGCTTTTAACCCTGGGTCGATTGGTTGGTTGCTAGTTGCTGGTTTTTCGCTCGCTCACCCTAGCGCGGTATGCACTGGGCAAGGGTTTTCACAAACTGGTACTTTTGTATTGGCAAACACGAGGCACTTGTTTACAGTCACCGCTGAATGTCAGCTTGAGGTGCAGATATGTTCTCTAGTGCCTTTGTATTCCTGTTTTGACCGGCTTGCAGGGTTGCTAGATACCAGGAAGTTCAAACCTAAAAAGGAATTGTCTCATGAAATGGGGTAATTTTTTTGGTGTTTTATTTAGCCAGCAGGTGGCAGCAGAGCTCTGTGGGTGTCTTGGTCAAAGATCACTGTCTTGAGCACTGTGAGCAGGAGAGACTGAGGTGAAGCAGACTTGGAGGAATATAGTCAGGGACGGGCATCATTTTGAGCCAGTTTGAGCAGTAAATGTGTCTCCAGAGCTGACAGGGACCATGTGGAGGGTCAGAGCAGCAGACCAGCGGTGCACCCCAAAAAAGCCACACAAAAGTGGGCTATCGCTAAAACTATCACTGAGCCCCGCACCAGGAGCAAGGTGCAAAGTCCACCACTCGCTGGACTAAACAGAAGGACACTGTAGATGTAACCACCAGTGATGGGAATAACAGCGTAGAAATACTCTAGTACTACTCTACCTTAGTCGCACAATGAACTTTTTTTTAACTTCATGATAGGACACGTGCGCGTGTTGACATGAGAGAAGGGAGGATGACATAACCTCTCAGCAATTATTGGCTGATGTAAAACATATTTACTTTACAATCTGCATCTCTACAGTTGAGAGGATGGGTCATAAATTGTGTTTTTGACAACCAATATGGGGCTTAAACATGAAGCTGGTCTGACTTGGTGGTCTGTGCAGTTCATGTTTAAAGTGATAGTCTGGAACTCTAAATGATTTGCAAATTTAAAAATTGTATTAAATTGACCTCCTGGCCTTAAAGCTGCATTACCTGACTTTATTTTTGTATTCATTACGAAAATTCTTACCATTGAAATGCATTGGGATATACGTCCTTTTGAAGAAAAAGTTGCACAGATTTGTGCTGGCGTTTCATTTTGTTTTAGATCGAGTTTTCGTGAAACCAGAGAATTTGTTTCGGGTCCAGATTGTGACCAATCACAGCGGACCACTGGCCCCCGCTTTCTTGAGAAAAGCCACAGGTCTCTCGTTAGCACAGACAGCGGAGGTAAACAAGTCTTCGTTACCAGTTACTGCTTACACGGCGAAACAGCCATCCAAAAGAAAGTCTTGTCCTCTCCGCTTCCCGGTTCTGTCATTCTATGGTCACGCCAACCACGTTAAAATGTGCGATCCATATTTTGAGTGGTAAGCTCCGTATACATTTAGCACGTTAGCACAGCTCCGTGGGTGTGGGGAGGGCGAGCAAAAAGAGCGAGCCCAGCGCTCACATTCGAACATTTCTCAGTCAGTTAGTGCAGCTTTAAATGTTGATATAAAATAAGTCATTTTATGAATTCTAATATGGGTATGTCCCAACTTCCCTTCTCTTAGCCAATGGCCAGATGCATTGACGTCTAAGATAAGAGATCCTTTATTCATGGCACAGTGGGGAAATTTCAATGTAGCGCACATACAGGACAGTAGTAAGAGACACGTTTGACTCAAACTAATGGAAATAAAATAAATACAAACGTGATTGATTTATCTTGTAAAAAGTGTTACACTGCACATTAGGGAGTACTATAATGGCTCCCATTCCTTTTGGTTGATTGCCGCCATCGTCCGTAGGCTCGCAGTTAGACTTCGGCCGTCTGTCATGGAGAGTGGCCGTGGCCGGGACGTCACATGCACGGGGTCAATAGCTCAAAATCCACAATGTTGTCCAGTTTAACCCATCAAGTGATGCCAAGGGCTGTGAAAGGCTCTGAAACTACTGAACAAAGAATTCTGAAAACCCGCGCTGAGTTACCCATTTATATACTGAACCTATACACAATACAATACAATACAATTTATTCTTGTATAGCCCTAGGTCACAACAGAAGTCATCTCAGAGGACTTAACAAAACCATTGAAATCACCAACACAGGTCAGAGAATCAACAGTTAAAACACATGAAGAATATAAAGCACACACAGAAGAAAATGTCCATACATGTTGTAGAATGCTAAAGTGTCCTGATCATCACCAATCCTTTCTGTTGGACACTAACTGTCCAACAAGACCCTCCTGCATCGACAAGGAAAAACTCTTAAAAAACCCAGTGGGAAAAAGTGAGAAACCTTGGAGGAGAACTAGGGAAACCCACAGGGAGGGAGACCCATATGAGAAAGGGATCCGCTCCTCCGGACGGACAGGCTAATGATCTAGGACCTAAGCTAGCTACAGAACGTGGACCAGTGGACGCTGAACGTGGACAGGTCCGGTGCAGGACTGAAGCACTCCCAGGCGGGTCGGGCGGGGCCTATATGTCAATGTCAATGTCAATTTTATTTATATAGCACACTTAAAACAGCCACAGCCGCCCAAAGTGCTGTACAACAAACATTATAAAATACAATTGAAGAGTAAAACAGTCACAAAATATACAACATGAGACATCCATCCATCCATCCATTTTCTACCCTTTAATCCATGTCTGGGTCAGGGGGGTGGCAGTCAGAGATGCCACCCAAGTCTCATAGCACCAGCCTCTCACTGACCCTCTGCAGGTGGTGAGTCCACAGGAGGGTGGCTGCTCTCTGAGTGTGAGCATAGCCTTGATCTTTCAGTGGGAGCTTACAACATGAGACAATAATAATAAAATACATGGGATCTGCTCAGCTTGTGTTGATATCCATAATCAGATCCTCTGCATATGTGTCCTATAATGTTCAATGTATGATAATAGCTACTTCAGGGTTTACCGCAAAATATTTTTAGTACCCTTAGAATTGAGTGTCCCCCTCCCGATTAAGACAGTTACAACAACCGTACACCGCACAGGATGAGTCTTTTGACTCCAAAGCAGACACGATTTACATGGTTTTCAATGAGAGCAAAACTGAGTTGTCCCACCTCTGCTCATTCGCTCCCTACTGGCCAGTTTAATGAAACCCAAGAATACTGGTCATTCTTTCTGGCATAGTTAGCTCTACTTTCAATATGTATATGTTTACGTTATTTGGATGAGTACTTTTTGAAATATTCGTTAACACTTTGTGGATGTGGGTGTGTGTGCCATAAAACTTTCATCAAAAACACTTTCTCATAACCTGTTGTTGCTCACCTCATTTTCTCAGCCTGTATCAAGCTAGAAACTTCTTTTGTTTTTGTCTAGTCTTTCAGACTCTTGTTTCATGTTTCTCATAATCATAGCACACAATATTCTGTGAGTCTTGTAAATCAGTGAAGTAATCAAAAATGACTGGCAGTCAGAGTTAAGTGTTAAAGGAGCATTATGTAAAAAATTTGGCCAAAAGTGGTACTGCAGTCAAAGTCAATATTCTGTAGTCCTCTCCTACTCTCCCTGACTCAGGTTGCCAGAAACACAACAAATCTAGCCGCAAACACAAGAAATTATTTTATCAGTTGTTTTTCTGTCTCCATTCACATTGCCATGATAGCCGTGCTAATGTTGATTGGATGTTTTGAATGAATTTTATTTTTTTTATTTGGGCATTTGAGATGAGAAACATAAAGGCAATTTAACTATACATAGATTATGCAAAATAAATAACCAATTTATGTTTCAGCGTATCAACATCAGGGTTTCCTCCAGAGGATATCACCCTTCAATTTTATTTAGTCCCACATCAAAAAGAGACTAACATAATTTTAATTGGGGTACATGTGGTCTCAAATTACAAATAAGCTATAATCTGCAAAATATGTCTTGATTAATGTCTTTTACCTGTTTTTGAGCAATCTGTCATAGAATGTGATAATATGCAATTAAATACAAACAGACTCTGGCCGGACTCGAACCCGGACCACTGGAGTGCAAGCATTATGGCTTAACCATTAGACCACCGTTACACCTAATAGATAATGTTTTGGAGGCAGCTAATTTAATTGTCAATGAAGAACGCACTCAAAGCAGCAACTTTTGCATCACATGAAAAGTTTTATCCGCTGTCTCAATTTTTCAAAGGCGTCCCGATATAAATCCTCGTTTTAGTCTTTGTTTTGTCATTAATGATTTTAGAGTCATAACAAGAGCTTTTTAAGTTCTGCGGCCATGTGATATTTTACCAGTGAGATTAGCCACGCTGAGTTCTGGCAACCCGGATGTCGGACTTCCTGATTAGCGAAACGGCGAAGGGTAGGACATCGAAATGATAACTAACTTTTACGGGTCGTAAAACTAATTTTGATATTCAAATATCTCGGATGAACTACTGTTATCAGTTAAAAAATGTATTTGAAAAGAGCATGATTTAATAACGCCTTTTGAAATATTGGGGCCATTTAAAGATGACTTGACATGCAAATACTACATAATGCTACTTTAAGTGTCATTATTATTAAAAGCTGTGCACTCAAGTGTTCAGAAGCGGTGGGGGTGGTGATTACGTCTTCCTGCTGCGACTGCTGTCTCCAAACGAGCAGAGTTTGTTGCACTAAAGGTATTGATTTAAAGAAAACCAATGGATTTATCAAGAAGGCTATATTTCCCTGGTCATTCTGAACTTACCAAGTGCCCCAAGAGGACTCTGGAAGAGTGAACTGGGGGATCTGTACATGGGACAACTATCAGTCATACTCTACAGAAATCTGATCTTTCATGCACGAGTGGCAGAAGAATTTATTATTGATAGGAATCATAAGACTTCCTGTTTGAAGTTTTCCAGTACTCTGATATGGGACACAGCTACCATGTGGAAGAAGGTGCTTTGTTCAGATGAGACATAAATCAAACCTTTTGACACAAATGTTATGTATGCCGCAAACCAAACTGCTCATTTCAAACATGTGTTAGAATGGCCCAGTCAGAGTCAAGACCTGAGTTCAAGAGATCTGTGGAAAGAGCTGGAAACTGCTGAAAAAACAAAGGAAGTATTCTCAAGATGTTGTTCAGGACCAAAGCAAATTAACCCTCTATGCACATGGGTCATTTTGGGGAACTTTCCTCGCCTGGTTTTCTTTGTGTATAATTGTTCATAAAACAGTCATCTTTTGATGCAGAGTCAAGCAGTATACTTTGTTTTTTTCAATACAACCTGGGGTTTTAGAATATTCATATTGTAAAACTGTCATGAATTATATAAAAATTATGGAATCATGAAGACAAAGAAAAAAATCAAACGGAAAATCAATTTAACAAAAATGTTTTGAAAAAACACAATGAAATGCTATAAACAACTTTTTACACTGCATAGAAATATTATTTCGGGACTTGGGGATAATAGGGAAAAAAAATGAATCTCTAACTATTATACTTTTTACAAAATTCCACTATAAAAGCAAAAAACTCTGTACTCCTGAAGCAGTTTGTCTATAATGCTGGGGTTGCTTCTGTAGTACAGCTGTAAAAAACGTAAAACATAAACTGAGCCAAAAAAAAAAACATCAATTATTTATATAATACATATATGTATATACACATAATGTCATTTTACTGTATTTATTATCGTCTTTATCAATAATGCGCACTCTTCAGCCGGTAATTGCAATCGCAGCTGTAGTTTCAACTGTGGGAGAAGTACACACAGAGGAGTGAGACATCTCACTCTCTGACGATCTTTGGCAGTCCCCGTGTGTTTGTATCTCACAGCTGTTTGTACCTCACGGGTCACGCTTTAGACACAGACTTTCAGACAAACGTAGTTTATCCTCCGTGCATCGCACAGACAAATCAAAACTAGTTTCGGAAAGCCCTGAATACGTACTTCACAGAGGAAAAAAAATAAGTTGTTACGTTACCGTTTGCGAGTAAATTGATCATTTGTAAAACATGTGCGCATGCATCGTCGCCGATGCAGACGAGTTCATAGGGTTAAGACATTTGCTTTTTAAATGTTGGTTTAACACAATTATGGGCCTTTCCCCCGAAAGCTTCTTGTGACTAAACAATGTTCTGGCTTCCTGAAAGTTGTGATTTCTAAACTAACGAGTGAGATCTGTTTTGTTCTTTACAGGAAAGACCCCCGTTCATCCCAGAGGGAGCGCTGCAGAGGAAGAAGGCCATGGAAGTGGACCAACCCAAACGCAAAACGGTTTGTGCACACGCTGCTCATGCTGTTACTGATATTCAAACGGATCCATATCCACAGTCTGTATTTCACCATTTAAAGCGATCCTGCAGAGAATTTCTTTGGTAAAACAAATATAAATGAAGATGAATGAATGTACCTGAAAAAAATATCAGATACCACGTTGTGTTTGTGGAAAAAGCTGTACAGTTTGCGACATCAACCGATATAATTTCAGTATATTTGTTGAGCCGTGCTTGGTCTCCATTCCATTTCAACCAAGGTTTCCCATGCACTGCTTGCAGGAGCAGGGTGGGGCATTTTACATGTTTGATCTAACTGCACAAAGAGTTTAACCGTCAATCTGCAACACATTCTCCCATTAAGCTGCTTGTGTTATGCAGGAGCGGGACCTCGAGGTGGAGATGGGAGACGACTACATTCTGGATCTGCAGAGTAAGCTGTGTGTGTGTCTCCCCTAAGCGTCCCGTCTGGTTGTGTGTGTCTCCTGAGTGCCCCCTGTGGTTGTTTGTCTGGATGTCTCCTGAGCCCCCTGTGGTTGTCTTGCGCAGAGTACTGGGACCTGATGAACGCGGAGGAGAAGCAGGACAGGATTCCGGAGGTGTGGGAGGGCCACAACATCGCTGACTACATTGACCCGGACATCATGAAGGTACACACTTTAAAACGCCTTCCCAGGGTCTGACTGTGAACAGAGTGTGAGTGGCCGGGGACCAAAGCTTTGCCCAGGCATTACACATTGTAACTGTCATAGGGACAATGTTGAGATAACTGATGGGCACGGTTGCGTGAGTCCGTCTGAACGCTTTCAAGTGACTTATTTTGTTCCTGCTCGGGTGTTTTTCAGTTCAGTTCCGACTAGAAAATGGTTTTGTGGGGTATCTTTCATGGGACTAAAAAAAATTTTATGGCTATGGCGCCTGACAAACCGGAAGGAAAAAATAATTCACTCACAGCGTATCAGGTGTCTCAGTTAAAGGTGCCATATTTTGCTTTTCTTAATTTTTCACAGTCCATTATATGCACATGTATGGTGTACCACCCAAATTATCATCACACAACACTTAAAAACTTGTCAAATTATAGCCATTTCGTGCATAGTGATGTCACCTCATGTGACGGTACAGTACAGTAAGCTTCAGCACGGTTATTTTGCGTTTCCGCTAGTGGATTGTATGGAGAGTTAGGTACTTTTCTCGTACTGTCAGCCGTGGTTCATCCCCCATAAATACCGTGCATGACGTCACGTCAGTCCCACTGCCTTACACGACTTGGTAAACGGAGTGTCGTCAATGGAAGCGACATCTGGCCCTTTGGAAAATAACTACTCAACAGCCATTCTTTAATAACCAGGGGCTACTCTCGGCTCCGGTTCGGCTACATTCGTCCTCCACACTCCAGAGAAATGAATTGCACAGGAAAGCCCCAAAGTCCTGGTCGTTCGTGGACGAGCGTCCACACGTTCCTGCTCTCAGGCCAAGAAAGAATTACATAGGCAGCTCGAGGCTACAAACACAGTTTTCAGGGAGATCACCCAGCTCTGGATTTGTGACTCTAGTCTGTGGTATTCATGAAATAATGGTTGGCTACAAATCCCGTTAAAGCTCATCACTCCACCCTGAAATGTATTCTGTGTACGGGCGCCGTGATTGTTGTTTGTTTACTCCTCCACTCGCGCCGCTCGCTCCTGCTCCCAATTAGCTTCATTTAGCTATCGATAGCAGATAGACTAAACCATGTGACTGGTGTTAGGACTTATTATTCCGAGACAGTTTCATTGAAGACTTGCTTTTGAGGAATTAACTTCTTTTTGAGAAAGTGACTTTCATTAAATCGCGTTAAAAACATAAACACATAACCACTTTTGGAGTTATTTCATGTTGGATTACCGCAGTGGATTTAACGAGACTGGATTAATACTCCATGGTCGCTGCTGGGCTCCAAGACAAGTTTTGGTGGACTGTGGTCCGTGCGCGGGGGCCGTGAGTAAAACCGTAACTTTATCGCTGACACTGATAAACTTTTTTTGTTTTCAAATATTGAGAGCACGGAGCACTTTGATCACAGGGACCACTGTTAGTGAATGTTCATTTGGATTCTTGTGTGGGGATCGCGCTCGAGCGTGGGGGGTGTTGGCCTTACATATTAAGTATGAAAGTATTAAATAGCCAGTTTTCGGCCAAATGCGTGTCTTACACCTGCACTTATTTCACCGCTGATGTGACCATCTCCTCTCAAGTGGTCTTTAAAATTAAAACATCTGGGTTGAGTTGGTCTCATACAAGAAGACACTTCTTCTGATGGGTGAGAAGATTGTTTTCTAACCTAGAGTTCATAGGTCATATTGTCACATGTGTTTTAAATCCTTTGGTATAGGAGGGCAGGCCTAACTATCAGCGTGGTCTTTGCTTTTTTGGATATTTCATGACACTTTGAAGCTACTGTGGTGAACGTTCTAACTCATCATTCTAACAATATGCACAAGGCAGAATTTTTCCACATGTTTTGGTAATATCAAGGTTGAAGCTACTGGCACAGCGGTAAATGCTAACATGCTAATAATGCTAATAAGTCTCCATTCCTCCGCTGTATGTCACTTACATTCTGTAACGTCTTTGTTTATGCCTCTACCATCGACAATAAAACATGTCTTCTGTCTGAATTAAAGACACGATCCTAGACTGTCATTTTCTTCACTTTAGATTCTGATCCACAGCTAGTGTTACCATCAAGCTTTTGCACTGCTAAACAAATGAAGGTTTGGATAAACATGGATACTGCAACTTTTCCGTCTGTGGGTTTAAGAACTCAGAGTTAAGGTCCTGAAGGACACATCCTGCATCGTACAGAGCCGTGGAAGTAAGGATTGTTATGAACTGATCATTCTCAACACAACACTGCGTCTGTTCTTTTCAGGTCAAACATTCACAGTGATTATTTAAAACTCCTTCATACCTGAAAGTTCATTAAATAAAGATGGGGATGTAATAACTGAGCATTGTGACTCCATGGCTGGGTAAATAAATAATCCTTAGAGGTAAAAGCGTTTGCTAGTGAAATGTTAGCTGACCACCACTTCGTGATACGCATATGTAATGAGGCGGACGTGACGTCAAGGCAGGCAATTAAAGAAGAAATGGTGAATATGGAAAAACAACATTAAGATGAATTCTACTAGGCTTGTCCCATTTTGATCATTTTATTTTATTGTATTTGTATTGTACTGTTCTATGTTCTCTTTAAAGGACAAATGAAAGAATGATGCACAGTAGAGCTGAAACAACTAATCGATTTAATCGATTAAAATCGATTATTAAAATAGTTGACTAATTTAGTCATCGGTTAGTTGCTAAATAACTTTTTTTTGCCGTAAGCTGCTCATTTCGTGCATATTTTAACTCTGCGGTGACCAAATGGTGGCAGTAATGAGCCACCGGAGGTTTTACAGCAGGAGAAGTAGCGAATAGCCAATAGCTGGCCTCCTTTTATGTCACATGCTTCGCGCACAGCTTCTCTTCAGCATACAGCAAGATGGCGGAGGCAAGCGGCAGTGGAGCAAGCTCAAGAACGAAATCATCCAAAGTGTGGGAGCATTTTACTTTGAACTCTCAAAAAAGCAGAGTAATCTGTAAACTCTGCGCTACTGACTTGGCCTGGCACGGGAGTACTACGTCTCTGCGTGAGCACCTTAAACGAAAGCACGTGTGTGTGGAAGCAGAGGACCAAGCCCCGGCAAGGTGAGTTTACTACACGCAAAAATACTGTTACATAGTATATCGACACATGATTGTCATTGTTTAACCTCTTAACCCCCGAACTGAACCGAGCACACGTTCTCCAGTTTGGATATAAAAGCTTCATGGAAAAAAGCGTTGAAATAGCAAGGATGAAAACGCAACAAAAATGTGACAAAAACGTGACAAAAACAACAACAAAAGAGCGAGGAAAAAAACGTGCCAGTCAACCAATAACACAACAAAAAGCCGAACTGGACACAATACGCTTGGTTAATGCGGGGATTAAGAGGTTGATGATATAATTCCATACAGTGTGAAATATTGTTGCTGATTTGTTAATTAAAATGATCGTTTTAGTTTTAAAATCGTACTTATTGTCATTTTTTGTGTGCTTTAGGAAGAAACAAACCAACATCAGCAATTTCGTGTGCAACAAAAAAATACTCACCCCGCAGCAAAGTGCACCATTGACAGACGATATTTTGAACATGTTAGTGAAGGACATGCGACCGCTCTCGATGGTAGAAGGAGCAGGCTTCCAACAAATGTTAAAGTCATTCAATCCAGGTTACACTATCCCCTCTAGAACGCATTTTGCGAAGTTGTTGGACAAGAAGTACAATTCCATAGTGGATCAAGTGAAAGCAGCTATCTCAGCCATTGACAGTAAAGCGGCTCTGACTGCAGACATTTGGACTAGTGTTGCCACTGAAGCATACTTGGGAATCACATGCCACTACATCAGAACTGACTGGCAAATGGAGTCAATTTGCCTTTCTACTATGCCACTGGAAGAGAGACATACTGCCCAAAATATTGCAGGGTGGATTGAAGAAATATTGGACAAATTTGAAATTGTTCCTGAAAAAGTATGTGCTATTGTACACGACAATGGGGCCAACATTGTGGCTGCTGCTCGACTACTGGAGGAGAAACACGGATTGGCCTCTCTCAGATGCACAGGTCACACATTGCAGCTTGTTCTCATCTCTGCTCTTAAACACCAGATCATAGCCAAAGCAGTTGGAGCTTCACGGTGCCTTGTTGAGCATGTTAAAAGAAGTGAGCTTGCATCCACCAAACTGAAGCAAAAACAGCAGCAAATGGGCACACCTGAACACAAACTTATCCAAGACGTTAGTACTAGATGGAATAGTACGTATCACATGATCAGCCGCCTACTTGAGCAACGGTGGCCTGTTACTGCAACGCTGTCGGACCTATCTGTGACAAAAACAGGCAAGCAATATTTAGACTTAAAACCAGACCAATGGAGCCTAATTGAAGAGCTTTGCACAGCCCTGAAGCCCTTTGACTGTGCCACAGAGTATATGAGTGGTGAAAAATACACAACAATTTCCTCTGTGCCACCATTGGTAAAAGGATTGGTCAAGTCAATGCAAGGTATGGAGTTTGAAACACCAGGTGCACAAGCGTTCCTTCACACAGCTGTAGAACAGCTTGAACAACGATGGAGGAGTGAAACCACTTTCTGTGACACATCACACAACACTGTAATCATTAGTTCTTCCCTGGATCCACGGTTTCGAAAGCTAAAGTTTCTTTCTTCTGAGGACAGCTTCAAAGTTCAAGTAAAAGTTCAAATTAAGGCAGTTGAAATGGAGCAGCTGCAGCCCCCCTGTGTCCAGCAGCACACAGAACCTGACCGTACACCACTGGCACCTACGCCTAAAAAAGTTCCTGTCTCCTTCATTGACTCTCGTCTGGATTCCGACACCAGCAGTGAGGAAGAAGCCAAGGATGGAAATGTTGAGGAGCTCACTGGGAAAGTCAGGCAGGAGGTCCTCACGTACTATGGTGAGAAGCCCATTCCCAAGGGGGAAAATCCGTTAGATTGGTGGAAATTGAATGAGGTGAAATATCCCTTTTTGTCGAGATTAGCAAAGTCTTACCTCTGTATACCAAGCACTTCCACACCAGCAGAGTGGCTGTTTTCTGCAGCAGGAAACATAGCCTCTAAAAAGAGAGCAAGCCTAAGCCCTGAACATTTGGACATGTTGACCTTTTTGCACTGCAATGCAAAGTTCTTTCTCAAATGAGTAGTGTTCGGCCTTATTTCCCACAGGTAAGTGAGTAAGTAAGTAATCTTTATTTGTATAGCACCTTTCACAGGCAAAGGCCACAAAGTGCTTCACAACACAGTTAAAACATCACAGAAATTAAATACAATATAAAAAGGGTCAAAGCAACACAGAAATCGTATCAGCCCAAAAATAGCTAATTAAAGGCTTGAACAAATAAATGAGCAGTGTTGGGCACGTTACTTTGAAAAAGTAATTAGTTATAGTTACTAGTTACTTCTCCCAAAAAGTAACTGAGTTACTAACGGAGTTACTCCACTATAAAAGTAACTAGTTACCAGTAAAAGTAACTATTGCGTTACTTTTTCGTTTTGTTCTGGAACATAATGTGCACTCGACGTGCGCATTTTTACCTTTAACCTCAGTGAGTCTGAAATAGTGCCAATATTTCCATCTAGAAAAGGCTGTTTTGTTTCTGAAGTCCTGTTCACTCTTCATCTCTCTCTGTGTAAGCACTAAACACAAACACCCGCCACTGTGAATGTGGAAACACCGGTGAAGCACTGACTTCAGTCCAATCAGATGAACATATATATCATAGAAATCAAGTGGACAATTTGGTTGGCTACAGCAGAATATGTTTCATGCCCGCATTGTTTGTTCATACAAAACGCAAAACTATGAGTTATGGGTCTTACCTATACCGTATAAATGACCTGCACAGTCCACTTCGGTTCAGACCAGTTCCTTGTTTAAGTCCAGATAATAGTTTGAGCGTAGATATGTAATCGTCCAATGAGTTTTAAAAAGTAAAACAAAACGCGCGTGTCCTCCATAAACTCCTCTGTTTTGCTAGCTGAAGCCGGGTGCATCCAATTTCTAAAATCAACCGTCTTACATTTCACCTTTCTTTCTTATTATTCCTATAGTCATTAAAAAATTACCCTAAGTGCATTTTAAATTATCTTAAAATGTGTTATATGTATGTTAGCCAAACCTGTTGCTGCCTGTAGCAGATAAACCAGGAAGAGAAAGGAGCCTTTCGATGGAATTGTATGCAGCCGACTTCTGCGCTCACATGCGCTCCTCTGCGGCTGGCCTCACGGTGATACAAGCCGTGGTTGAGCGCGATTGCGACCCATATTTGTTTCAAAAACACAATTTATGAGCCATCCTCTCAACTGTCGACATGTAGATTGTAAAGGAAATATGTTTTACATCAGCCAATAATTGCTGAGAGGTTTTCTCATCCTCCCTTCTCTCATGACAACACGCGCACGAGTCCTATCACAAAGTAAAAAGAGAAGTTCATTGTGCTTCTTGAGTAACGCGCAGTAACGGGATGTCGGAAATGATAACGGCGTTATAGTTACAGTCGAAGTAATTAGTTAGATTACTCGTTACTGAAAAAAGTAACGGCGTTAGTAACGCCGTTACTAGTAACGGCGTTATTCCCATCACTGTAAATGAGTCTTAAGATTGCTTTTAAAAGTATCAACCGAGTCAGTAGAGCGCAAAGAGGGCGGAAGATCGTTCCAAAGCCTGGGAGCAACAGCCTGGAAGGATCGGTCACCTCTTGTACAAAAACAAGTGCGTGGAACCTTTAGCAGATTTTGATCCATAGACCTCAGAGCCCGAGCAGGGGTGTGAGGCTGGATCAGAAAACTGAGGTAAGAAGGAGCTTGACCACGCAAGGCTCTGAAAGCTAGAACCAAAATTTTAAACGTGATCCTATAGGACACTGGCAACCAATGAAGTTGTTTTAAAATAGGAGATATGTGGGTCCTCCTGTTAGTGCGGGTCAGAATTCTCGCTGCAGAGTTTTGCACTAGTTGCAGTCGAGAGAGCTTATTTAGACATGAAAACAAACTATTACAATAGTCTAAGCGTGAAGACACAAATGCATGAATGATAAGCTCCAAGTCATTACGTGCGACCATATTCCTAATTTTAGAAATGTTCCTTAGTTGAAAGAAGCAGTTCCTTGTTAGCTGCTTACAGTGCTGGACTAATGACATGTCTTTGTCAAAGATAACACCCAAGTTTCGAAGACTTGGCTTCGCTGACTGGCCTAAGTCACCCAGGTACTGTTTAATCCCCGGAATTGCATCATCAGGTGCGATAACCAGTGTTTCGGTTTTGTCTGCATTTAGCTGCAGAGAGTTATCGCTGAGCCATTGTTTTATTTCCATTAGACAATGGAGCAGAGAGTCTAGCTTCTGGATTTCAGACGGCTTAAAGGAACAGTAAAGCTGGATATCGTCAGCAAATAGGTGGAAAGAAACATCACTGAACCTTTGGATGATCTTTCCCAAAGGAATCAAATACAACAAAAATAAGACAGGACCCAAAACGGACCCTTGAGGCACTCCGCACAACAATCCCACAGACTCAGACCTAATTTGGTTAGCTGTAACACAGAAGCTACGCCCCGATAAGTATGAGGAGAACCACTGTAGAACTTGCCCCGACAGTCCTACTTGATCCCTCAGTCTTTTCAGCAGAACCTGATGGTCAACGGTGTCGAATGCTGAGGACAGATCCAAGAGAACTAGAACAGTGCGCTTCCCAGAATCAGCAGACATCATAATGTCGCTGGACACTTTCAGCAAGGCCGTTTCCGTAGAGTGTTGTTTACGGAAACCAGACTGAAACGGCTCATGGATGTTATTTTGATCCAGGAAGAACGTAAGCTGTTCACAGACCACCTTCTCAAGGATCTTGGACAGGAACGGGAGTTTCGAAATAGGCCTAAAACTATTAAGATCAGTCGGGTCTAACCCTGTTCTTTTTAGTAGTGGCTCCACTATGGCATGTTTAAAGACACTGGGAAACACGCCAGTTGACAAAGAGACATTAACCATTTTGGTAACACAAGGGCCAATTACCTCGAACACTTTTTGAAAGAGCCTGCAAGGAAGGATGTCAGATGAACAAGAGGGCGGCTTCATCTTGGACACCAGTGCTGAAATATCAGCAAATGTCACCGTTTTAAATGAAGACCACATGCTGGACACAGGCTCAAACACAGCAGGGGTGCCACACAGAAGGGGCGAGATTTTATCCTTGATCATCTTAATTTTGTTTGTGAAAAATCTCAAAAAGGCATTGTTGTCCGCTTCACAAAAGACGGGGGTAACTGGAGCAGCAGGACATACAAAATAGTTAATCGAGTCAAACAACACTTTGGGATTTTTCTTATGCAATGTTACCAGTTGACGGATATATTCAGATCTGGAATTTTCAATCATCACGTTGTATGATGACACAAGATCCCTGAGATGGAGCCTGTGCACCTCAAGTTTAGTGGATTTCCACAGGCGTTCAGTCTTTCGACACAGCCTCCTGAGTCTTAAGATATCTTCATTTGTCCAAGGACACGCTTTTTTCTGTGACAAGTTTGATTTAACAGGAGCCAACTGATCCAAAATTGTTTCACAGTGGTTATTAAAACAGTGAATGAGATTGTCCACATCGAAACAGTCCATGACTAAAAGAGGGTCAAACATTTCTGAAAAACTATCTGCGGTATTAGCAGAGATGACTATGATCACTCATATGGACATCAATCACAGACAAGTTTAAAATGTCTATGCCAAGCGTAAAAACTAGGTCTAGAGTATGGCCTTTTTGGTGAGTGGGCTCAGAAACATGCTGCTCAAAATTAAAAGTTTCAGTCAATGTAAGCAGTTCCATTGCGGGGCAAGATGAGCAGTCGTCAACATGAAGGTTAAAATCCCCAAGGAGTAAAACAGATTCCAACTTTATTATAGAGGATAAAAAGTCACTAAAATCCTTTAAAAAGGGAGCAGCGGGGCCAGGAGGACGGTAGATCAACACACAGTAAAATGGGGATGAAAAGCCCACCTTGACCAGCTGGGATTCAAAAGATGTGAATTCTTGGGACTGGGTCACTTTGCATTTGTGGACATCCCTGTGCACAAATGCCAGGCCACCACCACGGCGACAGGGGCGGGGTTTCCCGACAGCAGAGCAGCCAGCTGGGCAGAGATCATTTAAATGAATGAACTCTTCCTCTCTCTGCCAAGTCTCCGAAAGACACATGATATCCAAGCTTTCTCTAACGAAAAGATCGTTCAATGAATGAGATTTATTCGCAATTGAACGAGCATTCAACAGGCCAACGCAGATTGTAGATGACGTCACGAAGGCAGTGTCCGTGTTGAGCAGCGGGATTGGTCGAAGGCACGTCCAGCGGTCAAGTGGACTCCAGCTGGTCCATGCTGGAAGAGCAGGCACAAACACGGAAGTAAACAATGGCGATGAAAGCTCCTGACCACAACTCCAGCGCTGTGATGGGTCCAGGACACTCGTAGTCCGAGCAGGCGTCGGCGTGGACACCCTATCACACGCATCGAGGAGAGGAATCTGGCGCAGGCACCGAGCACGATCCCTGCAGCTGAGGACAGCGGAGCCAAAGCGCGATGCGGCACGCCTTCGCTTAACCTGGACACCGGACCGAGAGCCTCTTTTCTTGGATCTCCTGCGGACCCTGCGCGGCGCCCGACACAACAAGTAATGAGGTGAGCCGGGATCGATGATGAAAGGAGGAGGAAACGCCTGTTTGTAGCTGTCCCATGTATCAAACAGGCCCTCCATTGACTGCTTTATACGAAACAAAGAGTCCCGATCAAAAGTCCGTATAGCCGCACATCCTTTTGTTATTTGGGCTGATATGATCGCATAGGTTGACAAAATGACCATTAGCAATCTACACAGTAGGAGACGAGCCGTGGCATCGCCAGTCACAGGCGCCATCTTCCCATCCCTGTTGGAATCCTGTCAAATCAGGCATATGCTGTTTTGTTTTTCATTGTTTTATAAAAGTTTTGAATTTTGCACTGACTACATATTTAAATCTTGTGAAAATCACAATGGGCAAAGACTTTTATTTGTGCAGATTAAGCAGAACAATGTTGTTTGCAAATGTTTAGTTGTAAAAGCTGATAACATTGCTGTGTTGCCGTTTTAAAGCCAGTTACCAGTTCATAATTCAGTCTTGCAACCTAAATATGACCGAATGAAAGAGGTAAATGAATGTTTAAATGCAATTTTGTAAGTACTCGCTGCTCTTTTTCAGACAGCAGTTTTGTTGCGCCTGTCAAATTTATTTCTGGACAACCATCTGATGTATTTTTCTTTACATTTGACTTTAAAATGTGAGTTCCAATCAGGTTTCATGCCATTGGCACTTTATTTGTAGGATTGTTTACAATTTCACAGCATAAACTAAGCTGTAAAGCTATTTCCCAGGTATAAGCTGTGTGTTTAGTTTACAGTAAAAAATAATAAAATTCATTTTACTGCAATTTTATTCTGTTTTATTCTTATTCTTCATGATAATACGTTCTGAAAGATTCCTTAAAGATCAACTAAACACCAGTGCCCAGCCTTACACTCTTGCTTTTGTATTCCAAAGCACAGGGCAGCACACGTCATCTCTCTCCCCTCCTGACATCATCTCTCTGCAGTACTGACTGTTTGCAAAAGATGGCGCCACACTCACTGTTTTAGGCATAAAGTTGATCTTTCAACTAATTTGCACAAAACTACTTCAGAAGCCCTAAGGATTTTCATGGTAAAAACATTATTGGAAATCTCCTTGTGAAATTTGCTAGAGTATGTAACGGTCAGTGTTTTGTTTTGATGGTCGACATTGAGTTCAACAAAGGATTACAAAGACATAACAAACAGCTCCAGATATGTTTTTGATTTGGATATGAATATGTAAAATGGTTAAAATCTCTAAAAAGTCTATGTTGAATGATGAAGGCCCTTTGTTAACAATTTACTTGGAAAAAAATTTGCAAAACTAAAATATAAGTACATAAACCGATTAATCGATTAGTTGTAAAAATAATCGCCTGATTAATCGATTATCAAAATAATCGTTAGTTGCAGCCCTACTGCTTTCACAACATTAGATCCACTGTCGATAGTTACACACAATTGCTTCTTTTTATCTAGTTCCCAAACCACTCCCATATGTTTGAGGTAGCTCCGCGTTTTGGAACAATGTCTTCTACAATCTGCATGTCTTCACCATGGTCTTCACCGCCGCGCTCAGCCATGTTTGCTCTCTGCTCTGTTGTTGTCCCTGCACGCCGCTCTGCTACACGTGCCGCGCAGATGCGTCATCAAAGTGCGCCGCACACAATAACGCGTCTTCCGCTCGCCGTTTTCAGTGTTAAATGATCGTTTTCACCGGTATAAGGCATTTTCTTATCATTTAGTTTACTTATACCGGTACAAAAAACATATCGCCCAACCCTATTGAGGACCCCTCAAAACGAGACGTTTCCTCTCTAGAAGCTTTTCCTCAATGTGGTATCATACAGATAATAACTGTTAGAGAATGGTACCCTGCTCCAAGTACTCCAGGCTGGACTTCTGCCTCTTGAGGATGGTGCACATTCGGCCCAGCGCGGCCCTCTTCAGCTGTTTGCATCTGTACAGCGAGTCCCCATACTTCATGAGCCGCACATAGTCTTTGGCCACACTGAAACAACACAGGGACCGTTACTGCTGTAGTGTCTCCCCCCCCGCACGTTTTCTCACTCATAAAAAGCCCTAGGTCAAAATTACCCACCACAGTGACTAAAGGTAGAAGAATAATACCCTGAAATAGGGTCTAAATAATCCAGGGCTGGTCAAGCTTCTCTGAATAGAACTTTGAAGAGAAGTCATAAAAATTCAGATAAAACAATTAAGGATATTTTTAATCACTGTGGCGGGTCAATTTGACCCAAGGAGAGGACAAATGCTAATGAGCGTGGTTCCTGTGGTGAGCACTTACTTGTCGATGAGGTTCTTGGCAATGTTGATCTGCCCCAGAGCCAGTTTGTAATGATCCTTGTCGTAGAGCACATTCATGAGGTCTGCATAGAACGGGTGGATGTCCTGCAACACAGCTCACATGAGCATTTTTGCAGAGCACTCCTAACGCAGCTCTGAGCCGCTGTCTGAGCGCTCTGACATTCAAGGTTATTACAGTGACCCTGAAAGTGGTCTTAAGCTGCTTTCAGACCGGATCATGCGTCGCGTAGGGTTTCAATGCAAAGTCTAGGGGGACGCGCGTTGCAGCGTCAAAACGCACCGACCTCCCGGCACGCACTCAGGGACTGCTGAGTAGAGCCGCACGGACTTGGCGGGAAAGTGAAAGGGGAGGAGCAGGAGCGGAAAATGGACGCCCACAGGAGATAAACTTTGCTCAACTTTTCCTCGGGACGTTTGTGCAGCGACCAATCAGAGAGCCGCAAAGTGGTCACGGGGACATTAGTGGTCTGAGCGAGCAGACTGAACATACTGTAAACAGCCAAAACAGGAGCTATACCAGGACTAAACCAGGGTTGACAATGAGGGACTGTGTGCTTGTAAATATATGCGTTGTCATGCTCCTGTGACCTTATGCAACTGCTTCGAGTGTTCACCAATGCGGAAATACCGTTTAATAATACAAAAAACGTATGGGGCACCTCCGTGAACACATACTACTTTTGTATAAAACCAGTGTCTGTGAGCAAAGACACGCTGCAAAGCTGAATATTGAAGAAGATCTGTACACAAGAAGCCGCTAGCATAGCTCTATTAGCATTAGAGCCGCCGGCTACTTCCGGTACTTCTGGCTCGCGTCAGGACGTTCTGGTGTGAAGTCTGGTGAGCGGGGCTTCAGCGTTTGAGTGTTTGCGGTCTGAATGCACCATAAGGGCACAGTCACATAGGGTTTTACAAACAGACTAGGCCAAGTGGCCCGGATCGTTGCCACAGGGGTGTGAAAACGGCCCGCGGTCACATGAACGTATTGTCTGAACCATGCCAGGGAAATTGTGCTGTAGTACAACACTAGGTCCAGCTGGTGGCGCTAATACCAACACCAGCGACTACCTCGTTGCCCTGGTTGAGATCCGCTTCTTTTCCTGTTTACATTCTGCTACTGTAGCTAACAGCAAGACTGACTCTTGAATGTCTGAAGTGTTATTGCAATAGCACCACACTGAGAGCGAGGACAGAAGAGAGCTATACCGGTAGGAAACGCTTTTCTTTGGCTCTGGAGCGACACCCCCCCCGCGCCCCTCGACCACGGTCCGGGGCTTATATGAAAGGTTTAACACAAACGGAGAAGAAAGTGCAGGGAGAGACTGTGTGAAAATGCGTGTCACAGGAAGACGTATTTTGACGCACAAAATCAAGTCCCCACCACACCTCATCCCCCACGCCCCAATCCCCACCACTCTGACCCCCCTCATCCGGGTTGGGAAGCGGGCCATGGACAAAGATTTGAACCACACCTGGAATCGTGCTCAGGCGCCAATGCCGCGGGCAGATGGCACCTAAAGCCCGGATCAAACCGCGAAGCGGGCCCTGGCACACTTTAACCGGGTTTAGGCTGGCCCCAGCCTGGATCAGGAGGTTGTGTGTCTCACTGGAAATTTATATTGACTTTTACCATCCCTGATTATTTGGAAGTGCTTGACTTAATCCTGCTGCTCTGAACCGCATGTAGCATATTACTACTGCGACTTTTCAAGAATGGGAAACTGACGTGACAACCGCAAAAGGCCTCTGGCTAGTTTCCAGAACTCCAAGAACAGACTAAAAACAGCCAGATTTGTCACTATAGGCAGTAGCTTTAAAAACTGTGGGGGGGGCTGTGATACTGTGGGGGTGGTGAAGACGTGAGCTTGGGGACACCTGTGTTGTTCTGGTTCAGTTCGTCATGATCTTGTATGACTCACAGCAAGCTGGGGGAAGTCGGTCAGGATCTGGCTCAGACGGTCATGGTAGTTCTGCTGGGTGAACTTGACTTTCCTCATGTAGAAGTGCCGGATGCGATGGATCTGGTAGTGTTTGTGCACCACCGTTGGAGTTTTCCTCTGGGTCTTAGATAAAGTGATGTCGATGAAGTCCTGCCAACACAAGCACAGCAATCAATGTTTCTAGTGATTATGTAATTTTTGTGTTGCATGCAGTGTAATACGATAATATTACAACAGTAACGAAAAATGTATGATTGTGCAGGGGAAACCTGCACATGCCATTTCCTTCAATTGTGATATATTTTTTTGGCCATATTGCCAAGCCCTGACTTTTACATTATGTAATAACATGCTGTGTTTACATGTCCACAGACTCAGGATTTTAACCATGTCAGAACAAAGTTTCCATAAAAACAGACCTGGTGCTCTTTAGATCCATCCACGGTAATAATGTGGGGAGCTACTAGGTGTTTTACAGATACATTTGCCTTAAGCCTAGTTTATACTCGCGCGGCGCGGAGCTTACGGAGGTGACGTGACGTCACTTGCGCAACGCGTTGGTCACCGCAAGGCCCTTACGTCGCCTGCCGCGCAGCATCGAAATTTTCTAACTACGTAAGGGTCGCCGCAAGGAATCTCCGCTGTGATTGGTCTGTGTGTGTGTATTGGAAGGAAGCACGGAGCGGCTGCAGCAGGGACATGGACGAGGCACTATGGAGCAGAGAGCTTTGTGCTTCGAAGGAAAAGCAGTTTGGGCTCAGAGCCTGATATACAGGAGACTGTGGACTATCTAACATATATATAACTTATAAACTGTGCAGTCGTTTGTTTTGCACTGTTCCTGTCTTGTTTGAATCGTAGCTGCGTTTGTTGCTTTCCTCCTGCACTCGTAAATCGTTCATGTTTGTCTCAAATATTTACCACTATTATTGTTTTGCTGTTTGTGCTGAAAACTATTTAATAATAACTATGTTTCCAACAAGAACTGTGTCTTTATTCACAGCATCACAGTTGAAATGACTTATAAAATAATGAATCCATAAAACTATCACATAAACCTACAGTAGAAACACGTGTAATGAGCTCAAACAGCTTTGTTTGCTATTGTTGTTCTGAAGAGGACAAAGTAGCAGCGTAAATGGGGCCGCTCCTGTGTGATCGCCCTCATGTGGTTTGTTGTGGGATTACAACATTCTCCTCAAAACTCCGTAAGGGGAACGCGCCAGTATAACATCAATTGTGCTTACGTAGAGCCACCGCAACCGCTAACGTAAGCCACGCCGCGCAAGTATACACTACTAGGCTTTAAAGCTGCACTAACTGACTTTGGGATTTTGAAGCCGCGGACCCGCTGACCTCTCTTTCTGCTCCCCTCCCCGCACCCACGAAGCTATCGCCCCCCACACACACTCACTGTTGGGACGGAGCTAGTGTCTCCCAATATGGATAATACATGAATATGGATTTGCACGTGGATGGCGTGACCATAGAACGATAGAACCGGGAAGCGCGGAGGAACGGGACTTTCTTTTGGATGGCTGTTTCGCTGTGTAAGCAGTAACCGGTGATGAAGACACGAAGCTTCAGGTTAGCTCCTCGGCTTGTTGTGCTAACTCAGCTGTCTGTGCTAACGGACCTGTAGATTTCTCACGAAAGTGGGGGCTAGTGGTACGCTGTGATTGGTCACAATCTGCGACCCGAAACACATTCTCTTCCTTGTTTCATCAAAACTCGATCTAAAATATAATGTCACGCCAGCCCAAATCTGCGCTAATTATTCTTCAAAAGGACGTATATCCCAATGCACTACATGGACATGGATAGCATTTTCGTAATGAATACGAAAATAAAGTCAGTTAGTGCAGCTTTAAGTTCAGAAACACGCTGTCAGGCGCCAGGGCCACAGATGTTTACACATCACATTACAACACCAGGACACAGCTCGTGTAGCACACAGGGCGATGAGCGTACGGATTCTGACCGACACATTCATCGCAGTGATCGCACTGTAACGTGCTGTTATTATGCCGCTAGCCTTCTCAAGACAGTCCCGGGCCGCTAGCCTGCAGCTCCACACAGGACCCACGTGTGCAGCTGCTGGGCTGAGAAGCCGGGTTAAAGCCCCAGATCCCCCCCACTCACCTTGGCCGTGGGGACCACCATAATTTTCTTAAAGTTGTACAGCGCCATGTTTGGACCGAGAACAGAGAGCCCAGACACAGCGCAGAGGGATCGAAGACCCGAGGACCGAGACCCGAGATCGGAGATCCGTGAACGAGAGCCACGCGGAAAGGAGGCGGATCAGGGCTTCCGCTGGAACAGGAAGTGAGCCAAAATCAGGACCACGGCGCACGTACACTGCGCACATGGGTGATTCTATAACTAATGGCAAATTGTTGTTCTGCAATTGAAGAAAAACCATGGATCTATTATAATAAGGAGAAAAACACATTTCAGATTTTTCTCATTTTCCAAAACTTGTACACCACAAGATGAGCTGTGAGACAGTAATATAAAAACCACTATCAGAAAGGGATACTAGACATTTAACTACAACACTACACTAAACAATATTCTTTAAAATATAATTTAGAGTTTCCAAATATTGCAGACCCAGATTTGTCCATAGTTGAATGGACAAATGCCCATGTACACGCAAGAGCGAGCGCTCTCTGCAGGACAACAGCGGGCAATGCAGCGGGAAAGCAGGTAAGCCCTCCTCAAAGTGC